CTGATCCCCACCAAATGTCAGCGCAGGATGCGGTGTTTGTCAATTTTGAACTTTGAAGATACGATGCAAAGTCCGAAATGGTTGTTTTGCTCCATCTTAAGGACACCTTGCGTTCTTCCCGAGGTGCTATTTGAGTTCAGTGTTGGTAGTTTTGCGCGCAGGAATTGCTCGACGAACTTCGAGCAGCTGAAGAGACCCTGCAGAAATCCAGTAGCTGACACGATTACTGGCGAAACCACAGGCCAGGGTCACCGAGTTGTGCACGGCGCTGTGGATTGGTACCCCGTGCGTTTCAACATCTAAGCACAAGGCGCTCTTGGGATTTGTGGCCAACGCGTCCTGGAAGACGCTAAGTAAGCTTGGGGCAGAGCGCCTAGCCACCTAAAGATGCTTCCAGTGACTCAGATGGGAGCCACAAAAACGTTTAACTATCTTTTCGCACACGAGCGCGTGATCTGGGGATAGGTACTCTAGACTGATTTGTATGCAGCCCCTCCAGCGATAGCTGATGATGATTTGATCAATTTGTGTCCACGACTGACAAGGTGGTAGAGGTCTCCAGTCAGCGCCAGGATCGCTGAAGCCTAGTGCTCGACAGAAATGGGCCGTGGTCGGCACTAAACTGAACTAGACAATCACCGTTGCCTGTCCTGCGAATGCCATGATCATGTTGACCACCGGGTTCACATTCGTCAACTTCAAGTCTACCGACCTGCGCGTTTATGTCCCTGGCATGCATCACGATGTCTCTGCGGTGCACTTTCGGAGTAGCTCGGTAAATTGACCGTAGAACTCATATGTAGCTGATTCCGGGAACGTGCGGTGCTGCAACGAATGAGTTGCATTTGCTGGCTCCGCGGCTGGACAGTTTTACTGGGATTTAAAGTAGAATCACGCTGAGTCGTCTATTGCCAAGGATCCAGTCTAGTAGAGCGGCTTCAGCACGTATGTTCAGCGCAATCTCCACTCCGGCAAGACCAGTGATTTCGTCGGTTGTCTCCATATATGCGAGATTTTAAAATTCTGGAGGAATTCGCAGTCGGCGAAACTAGTTATAGCGTCGTGCTAGGGTCTTGTAATCAAGTTTCAACGAGGCAGTAGTATCTGATGTGCGGGCATGGGCTGTCTGTGGTCCGACCTGCATCAGCGCCCAACTATTAAAAATAGTCAATATATATTTGGAACTGCGCGCTGAAAAAGGCTAGTCCATACTACTTGTCCCGGACCTAAGTTCCTGTTCTGTGTGACAGGAACACGCCCATGGCGGCGCGGTGCTGTGTGCTCGGAAATGGGGGGAATACCAAAGATAGGGTTGCTGAACATACTTGAGGTAAAAGTATTGGTGAGTAGTGCTGTAGCCTCGGCCGTGGGTAGCATTGCCAAAGAGCGGAGAGTCGTTGGAACATTCTTCCTTAAGTTGTGTTGGCATGGTGCTTCACTTGACTTAAGGACTCCATCAGAAACCTTGGGTTCTGATGATCCGCATGGCAGCTAGGGGGTTGATATACTCTATTTAGAAAGAAAGCGAAATTTAAAATAGCGAGCCGATCGGCGGCTACTGGACGTACGTTGCCGCATGTTTAAAAACGAGACTGCACTTTGCCGCGTTTCGCTCTGGCCGTTAGTTAGCGACCTACAGCCATTGAGGCGAGCAGTTGAACAGGCTGCTTGTCGGGTTAGTGTCAAAATAACAATGAAACACCTTGGAAAACAATGTGCAACATTTTGCTACAAACTGAAAAATTTTAGACATTTCTAGCAGAAAACAATACAAGCGTGCTGTACTATTTAATTCCGGAAATATTTCTGCATATTTTCAAGTGCGTACTAGAGACGTGTGAATTTCTAGGATCATGAGATGAGTGCAGTTAAAATGGCAAATTGAACACACGCGTCAGCAGGTAGGGACCTCATCGCTATCGCGGAAACATGGTTGCTCTGTGAGAAAAAGGATGACGAAATCGCGCTAACTGGTATGTCCGTTGTTCGGAATGATCGAGCCAGCAAAGGTGGTGGGGTAGTCCTCTACTTTTGTAACAACCTGCAGTGTGAACCCATACACGATTCGGAATCCGATCTACCGGACTCCATTTGGTGCAGCCTCCGGCTGAGATGGAACGATCTTGGCCTAGTGGCTGTTGTTTACCACCCGCCATCGTCTACACCTGAGATGGTCTGCAAGTTGGTCGCTGTGTTGAGGCATGTGATAAAGATGAAGTTGTTAAGTTTGAGAGACGCCTGATAAGATTGCCACTGGCACGGTTGGAGCACGCCTACGATAACGGCTTGGAAAGCTGGCCAATCGGACGGATTTGCGCTGATTAGATGGCGTTAGCTTAGCCCGGGGTACGCGCTGGTGAGACGCAAAATTGAGCGAGCGTGAGAACGTTTCTAACTGCACTTATTCGGGTAGACGCTGAGTCCTCGTGACGGACGAGGCTACGCACAGGATGGGGAGGGGGTTACGGTAGACGCGAGCGTTGCCCGGCTATCGACGTACACAAAATCACGTAACCCAACCGACTCCCAACTAACGGCGAAGAGAGTAAGGCAAGTGGTCCTCTGGAGGCTCTTTTACGACCAACAAAGGGCGAATCATAGCCAAAACTATGGGTCATTCGGTTAGTGAAAATTGCTACCACGACGGGTGGTGGTTTGCAAAAGAACATTGTCAACGTGTGCGCAGTTGTGCTGCGTCTCGGAGTGGCTGAACTCTGCTACGTTGTGGGGAGGAATTGGACCCCGCTTTCCACAGTTACTATGCCGGAGTTTCGGCGCACTTTTGCGGGGATATTTGACGGGCCCTCAACACCTCCCTTTGAAGAGAAAGCGTAACGCTTCTGACGTGGATTGACCTGGAGGGATTTGGCGAACTCCGGATTCTTCCTGTTCTTCGGAAAGGCGGGTTCTCCAGACGCGGCGGCGATTGAGCGGCTTCGACCGTGGCCTCTCGTTGTGTAGCCACTCCAAAGGTATCCAAGAGGATGTGCAGCGGCAGGCGCACAAGAAGGCTAGCTGGAGTGGAGGTTCCTCGGTGGCGCGGTCGAAGTTGATTGCGATGGCGACCCCACGTGTCATCACCCATGGAGACATCATGCAGCATGTCACCTCGCCTGGCCTTCAATGTTGCTTTGATCCAGCGTGGATGATCTGCTCGATAATCGCGAGCGTAGACCGGGGCTCCAACGACGAATTCTTTGTGCTTGATGCAGGCATTAGAGTGACTAGGTGGCTTCTCAGTCGGAATGAGCGCTTCGTTGGTGGTGCGTAGCTTGCGGCCCATCAATGCTTCAGCTGGTGACTGGCATCCTGGCGTAGCTGGATTCAGTGTGGACCGGTACGAGAGCAGAAAGGCCTGAAGACACTCATCCACGGTCCCCTCCCCGCGAGATTTCAAAAGCGCTCTCTTGAAGGTATCAACAAATCGCTCCGCTTGACCATTGGACTGGAGATGGTAAGGCGGTGAGCGGTGTTGAATGCAGTGTCGGCGTCAAAAGTCTTCGGAGATGGAAGACGTAAACTGGGTACCGTTATCGCACACCAAAACCTCGGGAAGGCCATGTTGACTGAAGATTCGTTGGAGACAACCCAGAGTGGCGATGCGGTTGGTGGGTTGACGGCGACCACTTCTGGTCATTTGGAATAGGCGTCGACCACGACCAGAGGAAATGCTATCGATGGGACCAGCGTAGTCGATGTGCACGCGAGACTACGGTTTTGCTGGCGGATGCCAAGGAACCGTTGATTGGTGTGTTGGCAAGTTTGAGGCTTATTGACATTTTGAGCAGCGGCGAACCAGATCTTGCATGTCGTTGTCAATGCCAGGCCAGTACACATAACTGCGGGCACTTGTCTTCATTCTGTTCATACCGGGGTGAGCAGAATGGAGCTGATGGTGTACAGCTTGCCGGAGGCATGAAGGAACGACAACTCGATCTGTAGTCATGAGGCCACGGAAAGGGAGTCGCGGCGTTGATGTAGTTGTTTGAGTTCACCAGACAAAGCAGTGTTTTGGTCAGCACGTCTGAACATAAGTGACGACTTTCTGCAAGAGAGGGTATTAAGCAGTTGCACGACGTATGTCGGTGGCATTGATGGGACTTGGGATAGCGTTCGAGAGTTGATAACGAACGTCGTCCTCAACAGTAACAACGGCAATCCCTGTGTCTTCTACTGCGGCGTGTTTGGAAATGCGTCGGGAGAGACTGTTGGCTTGACCGAAATCCGGAGTACGGCAGTAGCGGATTTCGAAGTCGTACCCAAGAAGGATGACCGCCTAACGCTGGAGTCGGCTAGCCGAGTATGCGGGAGTGCCCCTTTTTGAATCGAAGATTGGAACTAGTGGCTTGTGGTCGGTCGATAGCGTGAACCGCCGATCAAACAACATCTAGTGGAACTTGGTGACGGCAAGGACGATGGCAAGGGCTTCCTTCTCGGTCTGACTATAGTTTTTCTCTGCAAGCGTCAGGATGCGGGAGACATGCATAACAGCTTTCTCGCAACCATTTGCGAATTGATGAGAGAGAACTGCTCCGATCCCTTAGGCAGAAACATCAGCAGCGATCAAAATCGGCAAGGTTGGGTCAGCAGTAGGTCAGAACTCAGTATGGCTTTCAGGCGAACGAAAGCTTTATCGCATGCGGGGACCAGTGCCAAGTGACGTCCGTCTATAACAACCGTTTGACTGGGGCTCGAACATTGTGTAGTGATGGCAGGAAGGCGCTGTAGTAGCTGATGAGACCCAGGAGGGACCGCAGTTGTGACATCTCCGCTGGAGCTGGCATCTGCTGGATGGCTCTGATGTTCTCAAGATCAGGATGACGACCATTGGCATCGAAAATGAAACCAATGTAGTTGATCAACAGAAGAAAAAATTGGCATTTCTCGGCTTTCAGGCGGAAACCGTACTCCTGGACACGTTGAAGGACGGAAACCAGGCGCTCTCAAAGCTCTTCTGGGGTGCGACCAACAATGAGTAGATAGTCCAGGAATGCAAGAGATCATAGCGTCCATTGTCTGTTGGAAAATGGCTGGAGCGGTTTCGACACCAAACGGAAGCCTGGTGTACTAGAGAAACCACGATGCGTATTGATCGTCAGGAGGACTTGTGACTCAGGGGCGACCTCAATATGCAGGTAGGCGTCTTCTTGGTCGATTTTTGCGAAACAGGTGCCACCGTTGAGTATTGTGAAGAGATCGGTTGGGATCGGTAGCGGGTAACAATTTGGCTCTAGGGCTGCGTTGAGACCGGTAGAGAAATCGGCACAGATGCGGAGGGATCCATTTGGCTTCTTGACCACGACGATCGGCGCTGCCCAGGCGGAACAGGACACAGGCACCAGGACGCCCATGTCTTCTAAACGTTGGAGTTCGGCATCGACCACGCGTAAGGCTGCGTATGGGACAAGCTTTTTTGGACGGAATACCGGTTGGGCACCAGGTACGAGCTGTAACGCGGCGCGGGTGCATGTACAGCGTCCAAGGCTATCCTGGAATACCAGGGTCGGACTATTTGATGATGTCGTCGGTTCGGTCGTTTGATACTGCCGACGAATGTACCGCATTGCAGGTGGCCAAGCTAAGGGTTTCGAGCCAGTCGAGACCAAGCAGGTTGAGCTTCACCTACATGGTAGCAGATCGCGTTGAACGTGGCGCTCCGGAAGGAGACGGAGCAGTGCAGCTGCCAATTAGCTGCACGCAACCACCACAGACACTGGTGGCAGATTGGGAGGTCGGTTCGAACGGTGGCTTGCCAAAGGATCGCCAGAGATCCTCGGAGATGATCGTGATGTCCGATGCAGTGTCCAACTGCAATCGGACGGACTGATTGTTGATCGAGACGTCGACGAGTTTTCTCCGATCCGCGGCGTTGATTTGGAACGTGGCGAGCAGGCTCAGGGAGCTGCCAACCGGACCAGGTTTGGGTGTACGTCTGGGTCCGGACCTCTACTTTGGATTGCGGGTAGGGGCCAGCCCAGTTTAGGCCTCCTTGGGAGATGTGTGACGGCAGTAACCACCCCGGTGCCCCACCCTACCACAAAGATGCTGGCAGAAATTGCAGTCCCGGTGAAAATGCCAGGCACCACTGTTGACACGAGCACGTACGCATCGACGTTCTATTTCATGTTCGGCCAGTAAGCTCGCTGTATAAGCAAATCATATGTCCTGGTGTACCCGGTGTGAGCCATTTCGTGACGCGAAATAACCAACTTCTTTCTCCATTTGAGGGGAATCACCGGCACCGGCGTAGTGTCGCGTCCTTGTGTCCACATCAGAATTCCGGCTTCGTTGCCATGCAACTTTTCCAGTCTCCGTGCGAATGGCCCGAATTGCTTGCGCTGGTATTTGGTTGCAGCAGTTTGGTTCGTTATTCGTGCTATTATCACTCTCTTCAAAAGTCTGTCCTTCCGATGTTTAGCCGCTAACTTACTCAGGTCCTGTTCCAGCACTAGACCACCGACACCGAAGGCAACACTCGGCAAATCCTCATCGTTCGTCATGCGTGATAAAAAACCTGCCGTCTCGTTGTTTTTTCCGGTATGTGGTTTATCGTAAAGTCGTATTCTTGTAGGCGCAGCGTCCATCGCTGGAGGACCTAATCTATTCCAATGGTTTGTGATCGGTTTCTAGGTGAAACCGTTGACCCAACAAATACGGTCGCCACTTGTCTAGAGCCCACACAATGGCAAGACACTCCTTCTCCACTGTCGAATACTTGCGTTCTGATGGGGTCAAAATTCTACTAGTGTCTTCCACCGTGCCTTGCTTCAGCACCGCACCGATTCCGACGTCCCTTGCGTCTGTGGCCACAGTGAACGTTTCCCCGGAGATCGGCAATTTTAAAGTCAGTTGCTGCCTTCCCATCTCCTTCTGAATGCCATCAAACACTCGCTGAGCCACTGGTGTCCAAGTGAATTTCTTTCCTTCGCCTAACAGCTCATACAAATATGACGCCAAGCTGTAAAAATACCTGACAAATTTACTGTAATACCCAGAGCGGCCCAACATTCCCCGGAGACTGCGCTTTGAGGTCGGAACTGGGGTGCCTCGAATTGCCAATACTTCCTCCGGCAGTGGCTTGAGTTCACCATGACCCATATTGTGACCAAGCAGTGTCACAGGCGTCTTCCCGATTTGAGATTTCGACCCATTTATCCGTAATCCAGACTGCTGAATTTTTTGCAGCGTTGCTTCTAGATGACGGTAGTGTGCTGTCTCCGATTCACTATACACAACGATGTCGTCGCCGTATACGGTCACATTCTCTAATCCATCCAGTAGTCGCAGCATCAAACGCCGGAAGGTAAAAGGGACACCAGATAATCCAAATGGCATCCTTTTAAACTGGTACTGTTTGTCACCGACTATAAACGCTGTCTTCTCTCGGTCCTCTTGTTTGATCGCCAGCTGCCAGACCTCAGATCAAGTACTGTAAATATCCTTGACTTCTGCAGTTTATCAAAAATATCTGCGGCTGAAGACACCGGAACGAATCGATTCAGCGATATTTCCTCCAGCCTTTTTAAGTGCACGCAAAAGCGGTACTTCCCGTCGGCTTTCTTCACCAAAACGATTGGAGAGTTATATGAACAGTGAGCCTCCTCTATTACGCCTGCGTTCAGCATCTCCTGCACCTACCTTCTGACCACAGCTTCCAGGTGTATTGGTACTCTTCTGGGTCCGTGCGGCCGATACGGCTGAGGGGATAGTGGTATTGCGTGTTCAACCCAGTCACAAAACCCATAAGGACTACTGCCGTCCGTAAATAGGATATCGTACTTGCTCACAAGCGACTGAAGTGCTGGACTTGTGTGTAAAACGGCCACGACCGAGCACACCCTCATGGGTTCTTCTCTGCCAACAAGCTGGATAGCTCCGTATTTCGTAACCATCTCTCCTCGTTTCAGGTCGACAATTGCTTCACTGACTTGGAGAAAGTCAGCACCCAGGCTAGTTTGCTTTGTGTCCGGCGACACGAAGAGATGTTTTAATTCCCGACCCCTAACTTTAACCACATGTTCCGCCATACCACCTATGCGTATATGGTAACCTCCAACCGCCTTCACAACCATGGAACACGATTGAGTTTTCACCCCATCTCTGTGATTGATTAAGGAAACTGCAGTTCCTGTATCAATCAGACACCTCTCCACTTTCCCATTCACCTCTACCATCGCCTCAATCGCACCTTTATTCAACGCCCCAAGGATGCACTCCGCAACACGAGAACAGTACGATTGGTAGCATTCATTTCGTACAAAAATTGTGCTGCGATTTGACGGACATTGGCGCTTCCAATTTCCCACAAATGAAGCAGCGTCCCTTCAGCCGTATCTTCAGTGAGGGAACTCGAAGTGCCCCGATGTCTTGCGTAATCTGTTCCAGTCTCTCTTCTAACTCGTTCAATCGCTCCTCCTTTGCTTTGTCTTCCGTTGTCAAAGCAGCAACTGCTTCATGTGTAAGCTCCCTCGCTACTTGGGCAAGCTCCATCACGCCAGTTCTCTGGGTGGAGTTTAAAATCCGGAGACGATCGGCTACCGTCGGGGGAGACCATCCAAAAACGGTTCCACCAACAGTTGTTGACTCGTCATCCAAGTTAGGCAGCGCCCGGGCCAGCAATTCACTGATGTAGACCGCGAAGACGAACGTGTCCGCTTCCGCTCATAGTCAGGCCGCCTTGAACCGCCACATCGCATCTTGGCGTTCGACCGTGCTGTCGAACCCCGCAACCAGTGACTTTCGCGGTAGACCATTCCAACTTGAGAGGGACACCGCACGCCGTATCCAGAATGGCGTTCGCCATGCGCTTGAGGTGGCTCTGAAGCGCAGCCAATTTCGCCCGCTCCTGCTTCACCCCGACTGTCTGCAACGCCCTTGAAGTGCTCTAGAAGCTCCCGTACACTTGCATCCTCCAAGCGACCCGGTCACGGAATCTTCATTACACACTTGCAGTTGGTCACGGTATCGAGTGAGATAGTAACCATAGACAGTGAATTCATTCATCAAGCAACGCATGCCTGGTTAACATAATAAATCGAACATAGGAACGCCAGTCCAATTTGCGCATGACATTCGCGACTCCTTTCCCGAGCGATGCGCCGTTGCAATCTTTTGTTCAACGAGCATCTGTTTAGATTGCCTCGGGTACGTCGTCCGGTTGATTTTCCACCACACCGTCTGCCGGCGTCTCATAATTTACCTGTTTCCCTTGTGCGCCCTCGTTGATATCCATGCTACTCATTAGTAGTGCATCACACACATATGCCTTCTTCTTAGCTATCTGGAAATTTCAAGTCCTTTAAACGCGTCCAACGTTCCAGACATTTTGACTCTGGTATAATTCGCTTGACGTGAGGCATCCACTTAACGGATCAGGCATGATCCACGTAAAGAGGTTTTTCTCCGTCCAACGGCATTAACTTGAGCTTGGCCACTTGGGTGTAAACCTGCGTGTCACCGTTGACAGTGGATATACTAAGTAACGACGATTCAGTCGGTAGGTTAAGCTCCCGTAATGGTTGTTCCTTTACGAGTGATGAGTCTGACCCTGGATCCAACAACGCATTCATCAATATCGTCATTTCTTAACCACAAAGCTTGGCGGGAATCAATCCCAATGCAACATGACCAACGGACGCTACCGTTTCATTAAATGTAGCACGCGGCGAAGGCGTTTGTACTGTGCTTGGACTGTGCAGTAAAGGATGATGTTTGGGCTGACAGCCATTCAGCTCACAAGCGTACCGAGCTTTACAACTATCCGACGAATGATTCGGCTACATACAAATAAACCTAAACCTTTCCGAGATATGACAGCTAACCGTGGAACATCATCCATGGAGAGGAACCGGAAACAGAGGTCCAAATAATGGTTCTCTGTGCATATCATACAAGGCGGTAGAACTCGACGACTCGGCTGTATCAAATCGTTCGTTGTTAAGGCATTTATCTCGTTCCCCCGGGTTTCCAGTCGTTTCCTCCGTTGAAACCCTTCTTGCCTCTGCAGCAATTCATCCAAATACATCGCCTGAGTTTCGTCAACTTCGGCACACTCTCAAACGAACAGATCTGTGAAGGTGGGCTCTCCGACTGAATTAAATCGGACGCCTTTTTGACCATTCGAGCAGCAAAGCGTACGGAAGCCTCATACCGACTGCTTCTACTGTTCCGGTTGCATTTAACTCGGCTAAGTAATTCAGCTGGTGGAGTGTGTTCAGGCACGTATAGCGGAATCGTTCGGTCGCTATATGTCAGGTTTGTCCAGCCCAAAGGATAAGTCGTGAAAAGATGAATTTAAAGGCGAGATATACGTTTATTATCGAAACGTAAAATCCCACTAACTGAAGGCACCGTAAAAATGATTCTAGCTAGGGGCAAGGTCTAGTCACCAGCCGATACGTAGCAACGCTGTTCGTTGCGGAAAATCCGGAAGCGCACGAATGCGATTCGTCTGTGTGACTCAAACGCACATAGTCATCGCGCGAACAGGCAAGCTTCCTAAGTTGTCTATGTACAGAATGAGATTATGTGTTAATAATATTTTTCACAGATAAACAGGACAATC